CTCGATGGCTGGCATTTTCGGTTGTGTTGGGCGTGAGAAAAGCCAACGCAAAGGGTGCATTTTCGTTGGTGTTGGGGGTGAGAAAAGCCAACGCGAAGGGTGCATTTTCGTTGGTGTTGGGGGTGAGAAAAGCCAATGCGAGGGGGTGCATTTTCGCCGCTGTTTTGGGTGAGAAAACCCAACGCAAGCCCCGATTGGGTGTGTTTTCCTCCCTGTTTTGGGTGAGCGGGAGGAGCCAACGCAAGTGCCAACCAGGTGGACTCTCGTTGGCATTTTGGACAAGAGGGAAAAGGCAATAGAAGCACCAACCAGGTGCATTTTCATTGGTATCAGGGTGCAAATGCAAAAAGCCAACACAAGCGCCAACGGCGGGGAATTCCGTTGACGTTGGGGGGGAAACAGGAAAAGCCAACACCAAGAAAATCTCCCCTGCTCGGTGCTTGTGTTGGCTTCTCCCACTTCTCCCCAACGCCAAGCGCCAACGGGTTGTGTTTTCATCGGCGTCCGGGCTCCGCCGTCTCCCTGGGGCGCAACGCCGGGCCGGCACAAGCTCTTCCACCCGGTGTTGGATCTTGGGATTATCCCCCTTTTCCTTCCAGTCCTCAGCTGCCCGGCCAACAGCAACTACTCCCTCTGTGCCGACCTCTGCGTCAACAGCTGCGCGGGGCTCGTGGATGCTTCCAGCTGCCCCAAAACCTGTGTCGAAGGCTGCCAGTGCACCGAAGGGTTCGTCTTCGACCGGCACCACTGCATTCCCAAGGACGAGTGCGGATGTTTTGTCGATGGGAAATATTACAAGGTCATAATTTCCTGCGTTTGGGGGGAGGAGTTGAGGGGGATTTTAGCGTTTTCCTCCTGCCGGCGTTGCAGCACGTTGCTCCAACGGCAACGTCTGCATGGCCCAAAGCGGAAAAGTTAAACCCTCAACATCTTCCATCTGCCAAGCGATTCTGTGGTTCCCTGTGAAGAAAACTGGGGCATTTCCACCTTTTTTCATCACTTGGCATGAAGCTCCTAGCACAGAGGTGGATGCCCAGGCGGCAGCTGTGCTTTCCGCAGCTGGAGGCGCTAAGCAATAGCGTATTTTTCCTTCGGAGGAGGTGGAAGAGGGTGAAGGGCTGGGGGCATCTTCTGCATTTTTTTTTTCCCCTTGCAACAAAAGTGATAAATTCCCCAGCATTTTGCGCTTTGCAAAGCTGCTCATTCTCCCCAGTACACGGCAATATCATTTTTCCCCTTTCTACGTATTTTTATGCGTTTACTTGTAACACGGCGGGCGCTTCTCGCCGTAACACTTTGCAACCTCTCGCCCTGCAGCCCCACGAGTCGGTCTTGACGGACAACTGCCGGCAGCACTGCACGTGTGTTCCCGGCGAGGGCTTGACTTGCCGCAGCCACAGCTGCACCGACGACGAAACCTGTGAAATCCGGGACGGGGTCTTGGGTTGCGTCAACCGAAGTAAGGAAAAACGGGGTTGCTTGAGTGAAGAGAAATGGATCTGGCAGCCAGAGGGGATCCTGGGGCTGGATGTTTGATTTCGAGGCGGTGGAAACCCTACAGCAAGGGGAGATGGAGGCCACGGATCCCATCTCCAGGCCTAAGAGGGTCAAGGATGTGGTGGGAGGATTTTGGAGGAGCAAAGTGCCTCGGAAAAGCTATCCCTTGGCTTTGCATCCACCCAAATGTCCTACTTTAACCATGAGGGCACCTTCTTGAAGGAGGGGTGCGATCTTGAGTAACGACGTACCCAACCTCGACGCTTATCCACGCAATGCCGGGGGAGGGGGAAGGCAGCTGAAAAGGGGAAATTTGGGGTTGGCACTGGATTGTTGTGCTCTGATTTACACCTCAGAGTTGCCAATCTCCTGCCAAAGCCCAGGGGGGAGCAGAGGACATTTGGTGGGACCTCAGCACGGGTGAACAAGCTCGGTTTGCATGGTGACGTGGTTTCTTCTCCTTCCAGACCCCTGCAAAGCCCTTCAGTGCCGGCCCAAGGAGAGGTGCAAGTTGAAGGATGGCCAAGTCAAGTGTGTCCCATCCCTGGTTTCCACATGCTACGGATGGGGAGACCCCCACTACCACACCTTCGACGGGCTCGACTTCGATTTCCAAGGCACCTGCACCTACACCATGGCCGAATCCTGCGGGAATGACACCAGGTTGGTGCCCTTCAAGGTGGAGGGCAAGAACGACATCCGGGGCGGGGTGAAATCCGTCTCCTACGTGAGCTTGACCAACGTCAAGGTCTACAGTCAACACGTCTCCATCCACCGGAAGGAAGTGGGCAAAGTCAGGGTGAGTTGGTCTCGAACGGAGGGAAAATCGGCCTTTCCGTACCTCTTTTCTTCATCCATCTCTTCCCTGTCTCCTTTTTCATCCACCTCCTCCATAATGTTCAACCCCCCTCCCCGCTCCATCACAGCCAGTGTTATTTTTTGGCTAAATGAATCAAACCGGAATGCGGATTTTTGAAATGCTGGGAACATGCTTCCTTGCATGTGGCAACCTGAGGTTGTTTTCTGCCCCCTGGGGAAGCCAAAACCACTGAAGGTGGCTACAGTAGGTCTCCAAGAATCCTCCAAGCAGGTGGGACACCTCCCCCGGGTGGTTTGTGGCGGCAGCTGGCACGGGTGAAAGCAAAAGCAAACCCCGATGAAGGCAGCGATGCTGCGAAACTGGAAGGGTTTTGATACTCACAGCATCTCGGCAGCCTCCGATGGGGGTTGGCGCCGAGTTTGGATCTTGCCAGGAGCACACGGAGCATCCCGGTAGCAACCATGTGCTCTCCTACACCAATTGCGGGCAAGCGCATGCCATAGCGGGGCAGTCGCACGCCCCAAGGCCACGTCGGCGCGTCGTGCATCACGCTCACATCTGGTGCTTCCTGACACGCAGGTGAACGGGGTGGTGACGCTGCTCCCGGTGAGCCTGGAAGATGGCAAGGTGCACGTCTTCCAGAGCGGGCTCAGCGCCGTGCTGGAGACAGACTTCGGGCTCCGGGTGACATACGACTGGAACTGGCACCTCCTCATCGACCTCCCCAGCAGCTACTACAAACACACCTGCGGCCTCTGCGGCAACTTCAACCTCAAGCCCGAGGATGACGTCCCCCAGGGTGGCAGCGACCTCCCCGCTGTGGTGGCCTGGGCCGAAGGCTGGAAAGTCCCCGAAGACGATGACCCGTTTTGCTGGGATTATTGCGAAGGCACCTGCCCGGTGTGCGAGGAGGAGAAAAAGGAGCTCTACGGGGGCAACCAGTACTGCGGCCTCATCAAAAAAAG